GCCGCCAGCCCCGCCGCGCCGCCCGCCGACGGGCTGCCCTTCCGCCGGGGCGTGCGCCTGCTCGAGAGCGGCGCCGTGGACAGCGTCCTGCAAGTGGGTGAGTGCCGCCCTCTCCTCCTCGCCCCTTCTACCTGCCCTGCCCTGCCTTTTTCCTCCTGCCCCCCTTTTTCTCTTCTCCCCCATCTTCCTTTCCTTCATCTCTCCTGTCCTCCCTTGTCCCCCTCCTCGCCTTTCCTTCCCTGAGGGCTGTACACCCTTGTCTTGCCCTCCGCCCGGCACACAGCGTCCTGCAAGTGGGTGAGTGCCGCCCTCTCCTCCTCGCCCCTTCTACCTGCCCTGCCCTGCCTTTTTCCTCCTGCCCCCCTTTTTCTCTTCTCCCCCATCTTCCTTTCCTTCATCTCTCCTGTCCTCCCTTGTCCCCCTCCTCGCCTTTCCTTCCCTGAGGGCTGTACACCCTTGTCTTGCCCTCCGCCCGGCACAGGCCGGGTCCCCCCTTGGTTACATTGTATCCTCCCCGGTTACTCAGTATTCCCCGCCCCCCCGGTTACATTGTATCCCCCCTTCCACTCTCCCGGCCCCACGGGCGCTGGCTGGCCGGCCGGAGGGTGGAGGGGCCTGGCTCTCTCCCTCCTCCCACAAGCTCGGGGGGCTCCGCCGGGGCTGCTGCAGCTCTTTTGTTGTCTGTGCGCAAGAGGAGGCTCTTTCCTCCACCCCCAGCTGGCAGATCCCCTCTGCCCCCGGTTGTTGCCAGCCCCCGGCTCCTGGCAGCCGGATTGCAGGAGCCCTGAACCATCCTGGCCCTGAATGCAGGGGAGAAGGGACTGCATGGATTTATCTCGGGGCTTGGGAAGGAGCCAGGATGCTCTGCCCATCCCTGCCTGCCCTCACACCCGCTGGCTTTTCAGGGCAGCCCAAACTGCAGGGTCCTCCCCCAAATCACTGCCTCTGTTGCTGCTTCCCAGGGCCTTGAAAGGCCTGTTCCCGGGGCCAGGAGGGGGATGCTCCAATTTGTTTTGCAAATGACATGCAAATTTTTTCCTGTGCCAGGGTACGGCCTCTGTGAAGGAAGAGAAAGTTGGGGGGCAGGGGTCCTTCGCTTTCTTTTTTCTGCCTTTCTTTCAGAAATAGTTCATCCTACTGGGTTTATTTTCGGAGCGTTGTGTGCAGGTGTGTGTTAATTCGGGATGGAAAGAGGCCGTATAATAAGTGAAGTAGGGTTTGCGTTCAGAAGGGCTTAACCCAGACATTTTTCCAAGCCTGACATAAAAACCTCTTATTAAACCTCCAGGGTTGTTGAGGTCTTAAAATAAACATGCAGCAAAAGAAATCCTTGATTTCTTTTTCTTTTTAAAAAAAGGAAAGGGTTTGATTCCACCCTGTTTGTGATCCTGCGTGTGCTAGGAGCTGTGTTGGCCTCCCCTTGTAGAGCTGGTGTGAAATCATTTTGAAACCGAGTAATGGAAGAAGAAATTGAATTGTTTTGAAGGCAAATACACACGTGTATAGAAATAAGTGTGTGTGTGTGCATACATATATATATACACACACGCACACAGTGTGTGTACATGTATGCACACAAAGTGTGTATATGTGTATATACATACGTGTGTATGTACATGTGTGTGTATATATGTACACGTGTGTGCTTGTGTGTATACACACACACACATTTTGATGTCTTCTGTGTAACTGTCTGTCTGGAGCGAAGCTGCTCTGAGCGGCCCGAGCGCTGCGTGGGAGATGCTTTATTGAGCCGCCTCGGAGCCGCGGGTGGAATCGGCGGCGGATGCGGGGCGGACAGCCCGGCTAGTGGCGTGTGAGCGTTGGTGCTTTTACACGGGGCAGTTTTGGTTTTTAAAGAAATCCCTCTCGACGCCCCTCTGCATGGAGGGCCGAAGTGGTCAGGTGCGCAGAGAGGAGACGCATGGTCTGCTCCCCAGGCAGGGGGTGCGGGAAAGCCCCTGGCCCTGGCTTGGCTTCTCCGCGGCCGCTGTCCCGACTGGCGGGAGCGCGTCGACAAGCTGAAACTGTCCCCTTGAGGTCTGAGAGCAGAGCTCCCACCCACTGCTCTCTGCATCTTCCACTGAGGTCAGATGCCGTGTGTTGGAAATATTTACTGCACCATTAGGCCATGATATTTTTTCAAGGCTTTTAGAAGAGGGTGGAGGTGGTGGAAATTTTGCAAGGGGGGGTGGGGGGGTTCTGCTCCCCCCCCGAAATGTGTGTCGGGAGCATCGTCGCCTCCTGTATATCTGGGAAATTCTCTTCCAGTGGAAATGAAGGGGCGGTGTACGGTTTAACAGATCACACGGGTTTTTTCCCCCCTGTTTGCACACCAGAGCTAACGCAATAACAATGGGATTGCGTGATGATGGGAAGAAAGCCTGATGGTTTAGCGGGGGGAGAGAGCCGGAGCCGCTTTCCAGCGCGGGGCCCGCAGATGATTTATATAAAACAAAACGCTTCGACAGGCCGTGTGTTTATCTCGGCCAGCCGGTTAGCATAGCTAAGGAGAAACGTTTGCTCCGAAGTTTCCACATCCATTTTCCCCAGGCTGCCAGGAGGCAGTGGCAAGGGTAGCCCTCGTCAGAGGAGAGGCGAGCAGCTTGCAGATCCCGCTTGGCTTGCCACGAAGACGTGAACTTTGTCGGCTTATATAGGAATGATCGGTTCTGCAAAGAACCTGACTTTCTTCCGTCTTGCCGGCATTAAATCCGAATGATTGTTCCCCGCAGCTGTTATCTTCCTTGAACAAGTGCTCGCTCCCCGCGCTGGGCTCTGCAGCCTGGCATCTGACATGCGTGCGGCTCTCTTATTATTAATAAAGCTCAGATGTGTGTATGGCTGCCTCTTCTGACCCGCCTCTTCAGAGCTGCAACCATCGTCTGCCCGTGCGATCCCGTCTCGCAGCGCTGTCGACACGCTCCACAATTTTGTTTCTGTTTTTAATTTGAACCCAAGAAGCTGCCCCACATGAATGCCGCGGCTGGCGTAACGCGAAGAGGCTTGTACCGCTGTAAATCAATGATTTCGGGGGCGTGCAGCCCGTTGGTGCCTGCAAAACCTCTGCGCCGCGTTATCAATTAATAATTCCTTCATGCTTAGTAAAACTTAAACAGGGCTCAAATCCTGATCTCGTTGGAGTCATTAAACTGTTGTTTTTTTTCTTTTGGGGGTAAAAAGGTCTTGGAAGTGGAACACAAGCATCTTTGTCTCCTTACAAACTGCAGTATTATTATGTGCACAGATCCTGCCTTTGTGTGTGGGGCTGGGGGGTTTTTTTTTTAAATTTTTGTAGACAAATGACAAAAGCATGGAGGAAAGGAATGCAGAAATTCAGGGCTTGATATAAAGCACAGGAGTGCAGTGCATCATGGGATGTCGAAAGGATACAAAACCTTTAACAGCGGCAGTTAATTTTTAACAAGTTCATTCGCATCAATATTTATGAATCAAAGTTTGACACCTTCAGCTTTTCGGTTCTTGTGGGGGGGAGCCCTTCAGCGGGGTTTGACAGCCGGGTGTTATCCCCCTGGAACAAATCCGTGCCCCGCGCCTGTACTTCCTAATTTAGTATAATACACTTTGTCCTTGAGTTGTCATGTTTGCTTATGAGCACGCCAGCGGCGGTGGCGATTTTAGCTGGGAGCCGCTCTCTCCCTGGCTTTTACGACCGCGCCATGGAAGGGCTCCTTTTATACCGGAGCCATAAACATGCAGCTTTTCGTTGCGCTCGGTGTTATAACTTAACTCCTCCCGACCTAGGCGGTGTGCGGTGTGTGCTTCTGGTGCACAATAGGAGCTGTTGGAGATAAGGGTTTGTGCCGTGCGGCAGCGGTATGCAGACCAGCCATAGGTACATACGCAGGATTGACTTTTGCTGCTCCAGCAACAATGAAGCAGGGCTTCGAAACGGTAAATATTTAGAGTGAGCGTGCGTCCAGGACTGCTAGTCCTTCTGCACGTTCAGCTGGTGTTTCGCAGCGCGCGCGCACGTCACGGGCAGCTGGCAGCGCTCCGTTTCTTCTGTACGCTTCGTCCGCACAGATAGGGCTCGGCAGAGTTTTCTGCCCCAGCTTGACACTGAAGGTCGCTACCCGTGGAGTAGCCTTTCCTCCACAAACTCGAGGAAAGGACCGATTTAGAAATAGTTTTTTCATCTAAGCAGGTCTTGAGCAGCGGGCGTCTCCTGTCCTTGGGCAGATTTTGATCTTGGTGCCAAAAAAACCAGCAGACAAAAATAATACAGATATTTTTCAAGTTGAAATTTTTTTTCCACCTTGAAACAGGTGGGAAATTTCTTCTGATTAGAAGAAAGCGGCCATCTGTGTTGTGTTTCATTTAACGTGTTGCCAGTCCGGCGTAAGCGCACATCTTTAAATGTAAACCTCGTGCTCTTTAGAAGTCCAGATAGTCCGGGTGGAGACGTTTTCGCAGGCCAAAATGGAATCCTATTTTTGTTTAACCGTTGGTTGTTCTCGTTCTGGAAATAGGTCTGGGCTTAGTAACGGGCTGGATGTGGTAAGGGAACCGATTTGAAGTGAGCAGCATATTTCATGAAGTGTTTTCTCCTTTTGAAACTTCCCGTTAGGATGATACTGAAGGAGTTTCCTTTTCTGGGGAATCTCGTTTTTGGTGGAATAGCTGTTTCGCAGCGTGTTCCTAATTTAATTTGCATTTCTTTTTTACTGCGCTAGTTTATATTAACTACTTACAATGTCTTGGACTGCATACAAGGGGGTGGCAGGGGTTACCTGAGGGCTGTCGCCATGCCCGTGCACAGATACGCCGTTCCTTCGGCAGTGGTTTTGCTCTTCACCTATAGAATGGCGTTAAAATTAAACACTAAGTGACACGGCGTGTTTAGCACCGGGGATTTGCATATTAGATGCAGCTTGGGTGTTTAGCACTTCTGCCATAACTTGGAGTCTGCGCTAACACGGAGACCATTATTACTGGCAGGGCAAAGGGGCAGGGTGAAGTCTGAAAGCTGAAATTTTTACTCTGAGCAGATTCATTGGCGTTTGGGTCATCTTCAGATGCACGAACAGATGTTCTGACGCAGGGTGGGGGTTTTTTGTGGCTCTATGGTAATTAGTACAAGAGGGGTGATCTTAATTAAAACAGGTCAAGCAGATGTGGAAAATCCTGCCCAGTGAGCTGTAAATATTTAGGGGTTGGTGTGCGTCCACACATTCGTTAACGTGCTTTAGCTACAGTGCATTTAGTTTAGTACTTGTTTAATAAAGTACTAATGAAATGCTCAGTAACTACAGTTACTGCGCGGTAGCGCCGGCGCACGGGTTTTTGTGACACATCAGCACCGTACCCAGACTCCCGGCAGCCCCAGGGGGACTTTTAGTATCAGCCCCCTTTTGCCAGAGATAATGATGATGATGATGATAATAATAATAACAAAAATTACCATTTTCGGGCTCCCTTTCTGTCTGGGCCCTGGGCGGCTGCCTGGTTCCCCCGTGCCTGTATCCGGCCCCGCTGCACATCTGCCAAATCACACTGCGCAGGAGCTATTAGCCTGGGTTTTAACTGCCGTGCTACTGCGCAGTGTTATTAGGCTAATGAGCAGTAAACGTCTTGTGTAGACGCGTCCCAAGAGACCTAAATTACACGGGGTAGTTTCTAGTCCTGGTAACTAGAGAATGGGACTTGTGGTTTGGGCAGGCAGCAACGCTGGGTTTTTCATTCGCTCGGTAGTATCTTTTTCCGTGTTTGGAACAGGTGAGAAACGGGCATTTTCCGCGCGCCGAGTGCGAGTTGTGTCCACAACGCCCAGTTCTTGTAGTCGCAGGCCGGAGGGATCCTCGTGGAAATGCGAGTGCTCAAACTCCATTAACCGCGCCGGTCGAGGCGCTGCGAGTCCTTGTCGCTCTGTGAGAGAGGACGACGGGCTTTGCGGTGCCGTGAGGTTTGCTTTGATGATACCCGTCTTGCAGTCACCACCTCGAGCCTGCGCTGACGCTTTAGGAAAGCTTTAAAAATAGTCAAGTCTAATATTACCAGAAGTGGGATAACTTTGTACTTTTAACAAGGCAGCTGTGAGCTATGAATCTACCCTTCGGCTGCGTGAGATTTTTCCTTCTCTCTGGAGATATTAATGGAGATTTTTTTTTTTTTTTTTTAATGGATTGGGGTGAAAAAAGATACGTTAGCCTTATAGCTTTTATTTAAATGCATACGAACCTAATCTCAGAGAAGAATGCAAGGGCACGAGGGTGACAGCAGGTTTGCTGAGTTTATGTAATTAATTTATTTCTTTTTGTGTCTTAGATTAAATTCTGTCTCCGTCTTGCCAGCAGAAGTCCGATCACGCTGGGGCCTTAATTATATTTTCAGTTAGGGTGGCAGAGAGAGAGAAAACGGAGGGCAGAGCTGATATGTTGCGCTGTGCTGAATCTGAGGGGTTTTGCCTGGAGGTGTTATGCACCGCTCTATGTTTAGCAGTGATGCAGTTTTTTCCCTCTTCTGCCCACTTCACTTGAGATGAGAATAGCTAACGCTGCGAAGGAGGTGGAAAGCGATTTAAGAAGGAGCGGTGCGGCGTGTTGGATTTGCCTCGTCACAAATGCCCAGGATAGAAATTTTAATGCAGAGACCGAGACTTTGTCACAGGTCGTGCGTTGCTAGATCCTGAAGCGCCGTGTGTCAAAGGGTGCTTTTCCCTTCGACGGCTTTTGGAAGTGGCTGACTTCTTTTTATCCCTGTGGGCGTGGGGCATAGATCTGCGTGTGCTCTGAGTAATAGGGAAGGAGTGACGGTATTTTGACCTTACTTGGAGAGAGAAAAAAATCTATATATCTATATCTATAGAGAGAGAGAGAGAGAGATAGATATATCTATAGAGAGGTAGATAGAGATCTATCTGTCTACCTATATTGGGGTGGGCAATTATTTTGGGCGGAGGGCTGCTTACTGAGTTGTGGCAAGCCATCGAGGACCGCATGACAGGGGCAGATAAATATTAATTTTCTAAATTGTTTAGGGCTCCGCAGGCCGGATACAATGGCTTGGGGGCCGCATTTTGCCCACCCCGATCTATATAGATAGATAGATAGATAGTCCTCCTTTTGGCTTCCTTACTGCGGTTTAAGCCCAGACTCTTGCCTTGGATGGAAAGTTTCCACCGAGCTGGAAGGAAATGGGTTTGAGTGGGTTGCCCTTCTGTTTTTAACTTCATGCAACTTCCCCTCTTCAGCAGTGCTGGGGCTGGTACTGATGCATCAGATGTCCGGTAGTTTGAATCCTGAGGCTGGAAGAAGATCTTTCCTCTCTCGGAGAGCACCGGTGAGATCTGCCGGGGAAACTGGAAGGATTTCTTAGCAGGGTGGTGCCTGCGTAGCCAGACACGTTCGGCCTCCTTCCTCGCATGCTTACTGTAGCAAATCTGAAGCTGCTTTTAGCTCCGCTCCCGTCGGAAACAGCTGCGTCTTCTCTGCTCCCGCCCCCAGGTTTGACCCCTCTGTTTCCACCCCCAAGGACTGTATTTTGTGTTGCAATGGAGGGAGTCAGTGTGCGCGCCTCCCTACCTTTTGCGGCCTCTTTTCAAGCACTCCTCCGCCTCCTCCCTGCATAACTCGAGTCGGGCTCTGCTGTTTCTCGGCTTTCTCGGACCTCGGCATCAATAGACATTGATCTGTTTTCCAACAAGACCTAAAGCCTCGCCGCCGTGAAATGCTGGATCTGTTAACCTCATGAGTTCTCAATGCTGCAGAACTCGTCTGCCCTCGAATGAAGCCATGTCTCTAGTGGGGTTTGAACGGGAGAGCCGGGAAGCGGCAGATTTTTGTTCAGGTTTTCATTCCTGCTGTTGGGCGAAGCTCCCGCAGGACCCGAAGCATTGACTCGCCCGGCCTCCGGGGTCCAGGAAAATGGCACTGGATTGATTTGCGTTAGAGCTGTATCCTGTGGAGGTTAGAAACACAGGCCCTGATCCCGGGGGTTTGCTTCTTTCAGGAATGGGGTTTCTAAGCTCTCGTTACAACAAGCATAGCTCCGTCCAAAACGGGTGGGTTAGTAGCATACCCGGCTTAGTACGGCTCAACGGGAGAGAAAAGGGCCAGCTCTTTCCCAAGCCCTGAGACTGAAGGACTGTGAGACCAAGCATTTCATTTTTAAAACATTTTTTTTTTTAATTTCCAAAGTTTAAACTTTAAGAAATCCCGAATAAATTGCATTTGACTGACTTATACTGCATGCACGGTGTATGAACTCTTGAGGGTTTCCCAGCAGCAGAGACTCTCGGACGTGACCCCCAAAGGATTTGCTGTCATGTCAGTCTAAAGTTATTCTTTTTTCTTTTAAACTTGTAAGCTTAGGAGTTTAAAGCAGGATTTTGCCTGGCTCGTGTTAGCACGGGTGAATGAATTTGCCTGTCGTTTGCATAAAACCCTGAGCCACTGCACGTAGTTTTTCCAAGCCATATAAATATTCTGGGCTTTTTTGTTTTTCTAAGCTCCTTAAAACACTTGCCATTTAAAAAAACAAACAAACCCAAGGGGTGAAATCCTGAACGTCTTAACAGAAAATGTTCCAAGCGTGGGGATACCAGTTACCTCCGCGTGATGCTGCCTTTCCCTGGTTTTGAATGGGAAATGGTCTCGTCTGCGGTCAAACGATGTTTCCACCTTCACTAGTACGTGATTACGCAGCGAATCGCTGCTGGGAAAAACACGACTCCAGTCGCGTTGCTCCTTTGATACCCGCCATTATTAGTTATTCGCTGTTGTGTAGTCGTTGGAAGTGATTTTCCTTGTCTGTGCCTCCAGTGGGAGCCGCTGGCGGGAAGGGGCCAGCTCTTCCATTTTTTGAATGGGGGGGGATTGATCCAGCTTCTTATTGCAGCCCCTGCTGTGCCCCTTGCACGTGGCGCGCTGCCCGTATGCAACAGCGACGAGTGG